AAGCAAGGTCCATAAAGACATTGATGAGTGAGTTTGGGGGTGGAGGAACTTGACTGGCCTGCAGAGTCCTGACCTCAACCAGATTGAACACCTTTAGGATGAATTAGAGACTGTGAGCCAGGCCTTCTCGTCTGAGATCAGTGCCTGACCTAACCAATGTGATTCTGGAAGAATGGTCAAACATTCCCATAGACACATTCCTAAACCTTGTGGACAGTCTTCCCAGAAGAAATGAAGCTGTTATAGCGGCAAAAGGTGGGCCAACTCAATAATTGAACCCTACGGACTAAGACTGGGATGCTATTAAAGTTCATATGTGTGTAAAGGCAGGTGTCCCACTTTTGGCAATATAATGTATATATATATATATATATATATATATATATAACATTTTTATACATCATAATCCAGTGTGAGGGGAGATATGACCCTGTTCCAGAGTGTCTTAACTTCACTGGAAGATCATTTGAGACACTCTTGGACAACAGCATAGTCCATTTGGGGAGAAGGTAGTGTTATGGTGGCCAAGCATGGATCGTTTTTTATATGTGATCGCTGATAGATTGACTGACCAGAAGATTGAAAATATTGTTTGATGCACCGTACACTAAAATACGCAAACCCAACATTTCATATTCCTGACATGTGCCTGCTGTACCATGTACTTGTATGAAAAAGTATTCTGTTTTCTTTGTATCACTTCCTTTATGTGAAATCCCTGATGTTCATGCCAGTCCTTCTGCCTTCCTATTAAAAAACTGATTATGCTAAGAAGGAGAGCTCACTGTAATCAGTTCTCTAGCTTTGCTGGGAACTCATCCTGCTTCCCTCCAATGATCAGACTTGTCCTGACATGCCCCCCCCCCCACAATCATTCAATGGGAAGACCAGTGTATTGCTGTTTTTCCTCCCCTGGCTCTCTGAGCTCCTTATGGAGCTGAGAACAGAGGGAATGTGATCACTTATAAAAAAAGGGGAAAAAATGGGTATTTATTTATTTTTTTTAGATCTATACACAAATGTTTTGCCTTTCATTTCTATTTTAAACAGAATGGGTTGTTTTGCAAGGTGAGGGTTTACATATACTTTAATGATCATATCGACATTCTTTCCTTTGCTTGGAGTTTCCATTCAAACTGATTAGAATTTGATTATCTTTTTTTCAGAATTGATTGATGACACAGTATGGGGTTGATGTACTTAAACTGGAGTGCAGCTCTGTGTGGTAGCCAATCAGTTTTAGTAAATCAACTCTTAAGTGTCTTTTTGAAAAATAATAGGTTTTATTATATTGTCTGATTCTGTTAAGAATTATTCAATCAGAGTATTACGCATATTGCCAACATTGCAGCTGCACTAGAAGATTTACTTGACTAGACTTGACTAACAAATTAAAGCTAACACTTTTTAACCACCTCCCGTTTGGCCGTTGTATATAAACGGCCGGACGGTGGCAGTGCAGGGTCGGGTGGCCGTTTATAAACGGCCTCCCCGCACCCTGCTTGTGCACGCTCCCTGGTAGCGCGCAGCACCACGATCCGGTGCCCGCTGTGTCCTCCGGACACAGTGGAACACCGATCATCGGACGGGACCTCTGTGTGAGGTCCCGATCATGTGATCACTGATTGGCCAATCAGTGATCAAATGAATAGTAGTAAGCAAGATGTCACTTCTGACATCATTGCTTACTACGTGTGAAATCTTTGAATGATCACAGAGGTCACATGGTACAAGGCTATTCACAACAGCCTTGTACCATGTGACAAGCTGTGACCAATCACAGCTCACACAGTATTTCTCAATGGCTGTAAGAATGCAGTCAGAGAGAAGGAGAAATAATTGCTTTTACAGCCTTTATGGGTGTAAAAGCAATCAGTGTAAAAAAAAAAAAAAAATCTTCATCACCCCCCACAAGTCGTACAGTGTCACCATGTCTACCAGATTTTACCCCATTCTCACAACAGCTGGTTAGTTTGCACAGAAGAACTGCATGTGCACATTTCCTGGACAAACAGCTATGCACATTTTTTTTTATATAATTATACCCTTTAAAATTAAGGCATTGATCACAAGGAATAGTAAAAATGTACACATAATGCAAAACTTTTTGTTTTATTTGTTGTTGAATGTTTTTCAAATATTATGAGCAGTAGTAAAGATACTTAGAATGAATTAGAAAAATACTGCATTATGGCCACTAGATGGAGCTGATGGTCATCTTAAATAATTATATCTTTGTAAGAAAAGATACAGTGAAGAGATTGTAACCAATGAAAGCCTGCAGCTGTCCCAGTGACAATGGTCATCAAGACAAATACAGGTCTGAATATTCCAAGTGGATAAATGGATGGAAAAAAAACTGAGAGGGTGTCTAACCCCTTTTCTATACAGTTCAAAACGGAAACAAAAAAAATGTCTTTACATTCACTTTAACATGGCACATGTGGACTAGATACATGCATTGCAGTAAGGACTAGATACATGCGTTGCAGTAAGGACTAGATACTTGCATTGCAGTAAGGACTAGATACATGCGTTGCAGTAAGGACTAGATACATGCGTTGCAGTAAAGACTAGATACATGCATTGCAGTAAGGACAAGATACATGTGTTGCAGCAAGGAGTAGATATATGCATTGCACTAAGGACTAGATACATGTGTTGCATGAAGGACTAGATACTTGCAATGCAAAAAGGAGCAGATATATGCATTGCAGTAAGGACTAGATACATGTGCTGCAGTAAGGAATAGATACTTGCAATGCAGTAAGCACTATACATGCGTTTCAGTAAAGACTAGATACTTGCAATGCAGTAAGAACTATACATGCGTTTCAGTAAGGACTAGATACATGTGTTGCATGAAGGACTAGATACTTGCAATGCAGAAAGGAGCAGATATATGCATTGCAGTAAGGACTAGATACATGCAATGCAGTAAGCACTATACACGCGTTGCAGTAAGGACTACTGTAGATACATGCGCTGCAGTAAGGACTAGATACTTGCAATGCAGTAAGCACTATACACGCGTTGCAGTAAGGACTAGATACATGTATTGCATGAAGGACTAGATACTTGCAATGCAGAAAGGAGCAGATATATGCATTGCAGTAAGGACTAGATACATGCAATGCAGCAAGCACTATACACGCGTTGCAGTAAGGACTAGATACATGCGCTGCACTAAGGACTAGATACTTGCAATGCAGTAAGCACTATACACGTGTTTCAGTAAGGACTAGATACATGTGCTGCAGTAAGGACTAGATACTTGCAATGCAGTAAGCACTATACACGCGTTGCAGTAAGGACTAGATACATGTGCTGCAGTAAGGACTAGATACTTGCAATGCAGTAAGAACTATACATGCGTTTCAGTAAGGATTAGATACTTGCAATGCAGTAAGGACTAGATAGTTGCAATGCAGTAAGCACTATACATGCCTTTCAGTAAGGACTAGATACATGTGCTGCAGTAAGGACTAGATACATGTGCTGTAGTAAGGACTAGATAGTTGCAATGCAGTAAGCACTATACACGCGTTTCAGTAAGGACTACTGTAGATACATGCGCTGCAGTAAAGACTAGATACTTTCAATGCAGTAAACACTATACACGTGTTGCAGTAAGGACTACTGTAGATACATGCGCTGCAGTAAAGACTAGATACTTGCAATGCAGTAAACACTATACACGCGTTGCAGTAAGGACTAGATACATGTGTTGCATGAAGGACTAGATACTTGCAATGCAGAAAGGAGCAGATATATGCATTGCAGTAAGGACTAGATACATGCGCTGCACTAAGGACTAGATACATGCACTACACTAAGGACTAGATACTTGCAATGCAGTAAGCACTATACACGCGTTTCAGTAAGGACTAGATACATGTGCTACAGTAAGGACTAGATACATGTGCTACAGTAAGGACTAGATACATGCGCTGCAGTAAGGACTAGATACATGCGTTGCAGTAAGGACTAGATACTTGCAATGCAGTAAGAACTATACATGCATTTCAGTAAGGATTAGATACTTGCAATGCAGTAAGGACTAGATAGTTGCAATGCAGTAAGCACTATACACGCGTTTCAGTAAGGACTACTGTAGATACATGCGCTGCAGTAAGGACTAGATACTTGCAATGCAGTAAGCACTATACATGTGTTTTTTAAGTAAGGACTAGATACTGTATTTGCAATGCAGTAAGGACTATACAAGAGTTTCAATAAGGATTAGATACTTGCAATGCAGTAAGGACTAGATAGTTGCAATGCAGTAAGCACTATACATGCGTTTCAGTAAGGACTAGATACATCCACTGCAGTAAGGACTAGATAGTTGCAATGCAGTAAGCACTATATACGCATTTCAGTAAGGACTACTGTAGATACATGTGCTGCAGTAAGGACTAGATACTTGCAATGCAGTAAGCACTATACATGTGTTTCAGTAAGGACTAGATACATGCGCTGCAGTAAGGACTATACATGCGTTTCAGTAAGGACTAGATAGTTGCAATGCAGTAAGCACTATACTCGCGTTTCAGTAAGGACTAGATACATGCGCTGCAGTAAGGACTATACATGCGTTTCAGTAAGGACTAGATACTTGCAATGCAGTAAGCATTATACACGCGTTTCAGTAAGGACTACTGTAGATACATGCGCTGCAGTAAGGACTTGATATTTGCAATGCAGTAAGCACTATACATGAGTTTCAGTAAGGACTAGATACATGCGCTGCAGTAAGGACTATACATGTGTTTCAGTAAGGACTAGATACTTGTAATGCAGTAAGCACTATACATGCGTTTTAGTAAGGACTAAATACTTGCAGTGCAGAAAGCACTATACACGCATTGCAGTAAGGACTAGATACATGTGCTGCAGTAAGGACTAGATAATTGCAATGCAGTAAGCACTACACATGCGTTTCAGTAAGGACTAGATACTTACAGTGCAGAAAGCACTATACATGCGCTTCAGTAAGGACCAGGGGCGGACTGACCATTTGGAAACTCGGGCACTGCCCGAGGGCCTGGGGTCAGTAGGGGGCCCCATGAGATGCCCCTGGTACCTTTTTCTTGGGCTTTTTTGAGTTTGGGCAAGGACACAGGGGCCCCATGATCCCCTATTGCCCGGAGGGCCCCATGAGTTGTCAGTCCGCCCCTTGTAAGGACTAGATACATGTGCTGCAGTAAGGACTAGATACTTGTAATGCAGTAAGCACTATACAAGCATTTCAGTAAGGACTGGATACATGTTTTGGAGTAAGGATTGGATACAGTTGTACTCAAAAGGTTGCATACCCTGGCAGAAATCGTGAAATTTTGGCATTGATATTGAAAATATGACTGATCATGCCAAAAAAAAACTTATATTTACAAATAGTGATCACATGAAGACATTTATTATCACATACAGTTGCAAGAAAAAGTATGTGAACCCCTTGGGATTACGTGCAGTTTTGCATGAATTGGGCATAAAATGTGCTCTGAACGTCATCTAAGTCACAACAATAGAAGAACACAGTCTGCTGAACATATTACTACACAAACATTAGATGTTGCCATGGTTTAATTGCACATAACATGTAAACATTCACAGTGCAGGGAGGAAAAAGTATGTGAACCTTTGGACTTAATAACTGGTTGACCCTTCTTTGGCAGCAATAACCTCAACCTGTAGTTTCCTGTAGTTGCAGATCAGACCTGCACAACGATCTGGAGTAATTTTGAACCACTTCTCTTCACAAAACTGTTTCAGTGTAGCAATATTCTTGGGATGTCTGGTGTGAATCGCTCTCTTAAGGTCATGCCACAGCATTTCAATCGGGTTGAGGTCAGGACTCTGACTGGGCCACTCCAGAAGGTGTATTCTGTGCTGTTGCAGCCATTGTTTTGTTGAATTACTTGTATGCTTTGGGTCATTGTCCTGTTGCGTCACCCATCCTCTGTGGAGCTTCAGTTGGCGGACAGATGGTCGTACGTTTTCCTGCAAAATGTCTTGATAAACTCTGGAATTAATTTCCCCGCCAATGACAACAATCCATCGAGGCCCTGAGGCAGCAAAGCAGCCCCAAACCATGATGCTCCCTCCGCCATGTTTTACAGTGGGGATGAGGTTTTGATGTTGTGTGCTGTGCCTTTTTTTTTTCTCCACACATAGTGTTGTGTGTTCTTCCCAAACAACTCAATCTTGGTTTCATCTGTCCACAGTATATTTTGCCAGTAGCGCTATGGAACATCCAGGTGCTCTTTTTCAAACTTCAAACGCGCTGCAATATTTTTTTTGGACAGCAATGGCTTCTTCTGTGGTGTCCTCCCATGTACTCCATTCTTGTTTACTGTTTTCCTTATTGTAGATGTGTCAACAAAAATGTTAGCATGTGCCAGAGATTTCTGTAGGTCTTTAGCTGACACTCTGGGATTCTTCTTTACCTCATGCAGCATTCTGCGCTGTGCTCTTGCAGTCATATTTACAGGACGACCACGCCTAGGGAGAGTAGCAACTGTGCTAAGCTTTCTCCATTTGTAGACAGTCTGTCTTACCGTGGACACATGAACATCAAGGCTTTTGGAGATACTCTTGTAACCCTTTCCAGCTTCATGCAAGTCAACAATTTTTGATCGTAGGTCTTCTGAGAGCTCTTTTCTGCGAGGCATGGTTCACATCCGACAGTGCTTCTTGAAACCAGTAAACCCAAAATAGGTGTGTGTTTTTTAAGGGCAGGACAGCTGTCAGCAACACATCCAATATCATCACACTGATTGGAGTCAAGGTTGGCTCACTCCTGGCTCCAATTAGCTCTGGGAGAAGTCATTAAGCTAGGGCCTCACATACTTTTTCCTCCCTGCACTGTGAATGTTTGCATGTTATGTGCAATTAAACCATGGCAACATCTAATGTTTGTGTAGTATTATGTTCAGCAGACTGTGTTCTTCTATTGTTGTGACTTAGATGATGTTCAGAGCACATTTTATGCCCAATTCATGCAAAACTCCACGTAATCCCAAGGGGTTCACATACTTTTTCTTGCAACTGTAGTTGTTTAGCTCCTTTTTAAATCATAATCATAACAGAATTCACTCAAATGGCCCTTAGGTAAATAAAAAATTTCCATACCCTGGAATGTTTGGCCTTGGTACAGACATACACATGTTAAAACAGTAATGAAAGGTTAATTTCCCACATCTGTGGCCTTTTAAATTGCAATTTGCAAATTGCAATTAGTGTCTATGTATAAATAGTCAATGAGTTTGTTAGCTCTCACGTGGATGCACATAGCAGGCTAGATCCTGAGCCATGGGGAGCACAACAGAACTGTCAAAAGACCTACATAACAAGGTAATGAAACTTTATAAAGATGGAAAAGGATATAAAAAGATATCCAATGCCTTGAATATGCCAGTCAGTACTGTTCAATCACTTATTAAGAAGTGGAACATTTGGGGATCTCTTGATAGCAAGCCATGGTCATGTAGACTAAGAAAGATTGCAGCCACAACTGACAGAAGAATTGTTCAGGATACAAAGATAAAACCACAGGCAACCTCAGGGGAGATAAAGGCTGCTCTAGTAAAAGATGGTGTGGTTGTTACAAGGAGCATATTACGACGATACTGGAACAAAAATAAGCTGCATTGTTGAGTTGACAGATAGAAGCCAATGCCTCAAATAAGCCCAGTTACAATATGCCCGACAACACCTTGACCTGCCTCACTGGGCTTTTTTGTGGCATTGGTGCAGTTAAGGCTTTTTTTTCTGGCAACTCGACCATGCAGCTCATTTTTGTCGTATTGTGCTTCTTGAAACAACCACACCGTCTTTTTCCAGAGCAGCCTGCATTTCTCCTGAGGTTACCTGTTGGTTTTTCTTTGTATCCCGAACAATTCTTCTGCCAGTTGTGGCTACAATCTTTCTTGGTCTACCAAGAAATGGTTTGGTATCAAGAGATGTAAAACTTTTCCACTTCCTAATAAGTGATCGAACAGTACTGACTGGCATATTCAAGGCTTGGGATATCTTTTTATATTCTTTTTCATCTTTTTATAACGTTCCATTACCATGTTACGCAGGTCTTTTGAAAGTTATTTTCTGCTCCCCATGGCTCAGGATCTGGCCTGCTCAGTGCATCCATGTGAGAGCTAACAAACTCATTGACTACATATTTATACACAGACACTAATTGTAATTTAAAAAGCCACAGATGTGGGAAATTAACCTTTAACAGCCATTTTAACCTGTGTGTGTCACCTTTTGTATCTGTACCAAGGCCAAACATTCCAGGGTATGTAAACTTTTGATCAAGGCCATTTGGGTGATTTCTATTATCATTACGATTGTGATAATAAATGGCTTCATATGATCCCTATCCCAAAATAAAAGACACCTTTTTTGGCCTGATCAGTCATATTTTCAATATCAATGCCAACATTTCACAATTTCTGTCAGGGTATACAAACTTTTGAGCACAACTGTACATGTGTTGCAGTAGACTAGGCACTTGTGTTGCAGTAAGGCCTAGATACATGCATTGCAGTAACACGTTATCGCATATGCAGATATATGACCTCAACCTCAGTTCTTATGGCCCGTTTACACCAAAAGCACTGGAACTGTGTTGGACAGCCTTGCCCTGATGCAGTCCGAATGCATGACAAGGCAATTTGCCCTGTTGCCTATCAGTCGGTACTGCAGGGATGTGTGCTGAAAGAAAGTACTGCCTTTTTATGCAGTACAGCTTGTGGAGACGCACTACACCGATTTAGGTTGGGTTCACTTCTATGCAGTTTGCTTTAGGTGCGTTCCTCTTTAGGTGTGTTTTACATGCCCTTTAGGTACATTACCTTTGAAAGCTATGTATTGTGCGTTTCAATGAAAGCGCATCAAAGATGCAGCAAGCAGGATTTTTTTAATGCACCATATCTAAAGCATGGAAAATGCACAGGTGTGAACAGGGCCGTAACTATTTGCTGAAGCAGTTACATTCAAGACATGCTGTGAATGATGACTGCAACAGTTGCTTGTGCTCTCAGCCAAACTCTGAAGCTCTCATATGGCCAATGTCATAACTGATCTCAGGTGGTGCACCATGGTCACTGCAGATCAGATCAGAGGCTAAGATGGCAGCTTTTGTTGACTGTAAAGGATAAGAGGGTTTAGTTTTGTTTTCTAAGGCAAAAAAATACAATCCAATGCTGTTAGAAAACAGGCGATGTCCGCTCTAATTGCAGAGCTACATGAGGAAGACTTCCCAGTTATCCCTCCACTTACCTGTACACACAGATCTTTCTGGCTGTCTTCAGTGATGAGATGTGCTCTGAGAAGCTGTGACAGTCCTGACTGTGTACTATAGTGACCTGTAACCAGGCAACACAGCTCCTCCTTAGCAACCCCTTCTGTGCACATGCTCAGTTCTCACTGGAGATTTTTTTTCTTCCTCAAAACTTTACTTAGGCACCTCACAAACAAACAAATACACACTGAATGCAACGAGTTTCAAGTATATCATAGTTTACATCCTATAGTTATTGTAAAAGACAAATATAGGAAGTAAAATAGAGTTGTAGTTTCCCCCTTAGTTCCAGGTTGTCTTAGAGCATATTTAGAAAAGTAACAGACGTTTAAATAGGTATGGTGGACATAAGTGGTGAAGAATTGACATTGACAAAGCTTACTCAAAAGTAATGTTGGCCATGCAAGGAATGATTGTATATACAATCAAACTGTTGTTTCATTTACCACCCAGTAGAAAAATATGACCAGAAGATCAAAAACATTGTTTGCTATGCCATGCACTTCATGGTGATCATATACAAACCAATTTTACGTACAATCATATTGTCAGTCAATGTAATGTCTGGGAGAAAAATATGATCGGAAGATCAAGCGAGACAGGTACCAATGGACTAAGTAAAATTGTTTGATACGATCAGACCATATAATTGTGATTGATTGAAAATTAGTTTTTTTTTTTTTTTTTTGGTAAAAAACTAAGCAATACTTATCTTTAAATGTCATTCTGAAATTTATATATATATATACACAAAAGATATTTCTATGTACGAATAAATACTTTATGGTTTTGAACATTACTATGTTATGTACAAATAAAAACAATAAAAACTATATATTTTTTGCTGTTTGCTTTTATTAAACATCGCAATCAAATTTGTCTTGATTTCTAAGGAAAAAATATATACACTGTGTGTATATATGTATATATGTATATATATATATATATATATAT